AGCGGCGTCTGAACCGGGCCTGAGCCATTAGTATTGAAATAATGTGCTCATTATTTATGATAGCCCGTTCCTGGCGTTAATTCAGAGTCTTAGAGGGCGTATTCAAGGACAGGGGGGGAGAGGTGTGGCTCTCTTCTCCCTTTCCCTTTATTAAAATTGAAAAATAATGGAATTTAGGCACTTGATTTACAGTATAAAAATATGCGTAACGATGATAATTGTGACCACATTGAGACAACAACTCAAACGCGGTGAATTCTAACACTGAAAAACGGCTGTTGTTTTACTGACAAGTAGATAAGGTTGACGTAAAACTAGAAAGGAAAATACAATTGAAAGATCTTAATTACATGCGACGAGAAATGTACAAGTAAACAAATACGAATACAAACTTAACTAGAAAATTACAACAGGCGAAATAATAAACCAAATAAAAGAGGAAACGAAAGAAAGACTAATACCTTGTGAGCCTATTATAAATTTGTCCAGAAAAACCAAAATCCATCGCTGAACTAGCGAGCGAAGTAATCTCTGACCGCCGAGCTAACGATCATGCAACTTAAAAATAACGGCTTGGTCACCTGACCCCAAAAGGGCGCGAAAATTACACTACCGCGCGGTCCTGGGCTGGCTAGCAGCCACAATAATCTTTGCCAACATTTGCATTCACAGAATGTAAAAATTAAAATACAAAATACAAAATAACGCTAAAAACAGTAACTCAAACCTAACACAATTTTAAGTCAAACTTAACTCAAACTCAACTCTAACTCAACTCGGACTCGTAACTCGATTATATCGTATCTCCAAATACCAGAGCTAATCATTCTTTAGCTAAAGATTTGCACGACGATTAACGAAATGAAAAGTTAACATATGTTTAAAAACTTCTCATTTTCGGTCCAACTAAAATGGTGATCTGGTCAGACATATCCTTTCTAAAGAGAAAATTATGTCCAGGCCTCTACTGACTCCTCTACAATGACAGGGCGGAGCAAGATGTTGGCACTTTAGGAGTTTATTCTTATGGCAACTAATCTGCCTGTATTCTGTTAGGGCAGTTGGTCACTTGGCACTTAAAGAACATAAGGACTTGAGAGCTTCGGCTTGTAACATTGAATTTAACCAATCTCTTCCCAATTTTTTCTTTTATTCCACTGCCACTGGAATATCACAATGAGTGCATTTTGTTTAGCAATTTTACTACCTTTTATGACATATCTGTAATATTATGGTAAAATCAATGGTAAAATCAATCTAGTATCAGTTTTCTACCCTCAAGGTCTTTAAGCTCATGTGAGCTAAATAAAACCAAACTGATTTCCCTTGAATGTGGGGTAACTAACTTGAATATTGGATGTAAAGAACTCACAAGTCATAGTTTGTGTAACTATGTTTTCAACCTCTAGTTGTATACAACAGTTCTTAATTTCTCAGCACTTTGAAAGAAATGGGAAAACCTCATTTAGCTTACGCTTGATTACTAATAACCAAAAGTAACAAGGGTTAAGAAATATAACTTATCAATGACTACCGAAACTCAAACAAATTGAGACCTTATTTCTGATCATATCGAGAAAATCACAGAATGTAATAGTCAATTACCATTGATAAAGTACTCCGCAGGATAGTGTGGAACATCGCGTGCAGCGATTGCAAATTCAAAATTCCCACTGACAAAAAGAAATGCCAAATTAAATTGTGCGATTAATTTAGCGAGTAATGTCGAGAAAATTTTTGCTGAATGTTTTAAATCCCCACAAAAATCGTTAGGGACCGCTGCTGTCCTTCAGCAGGAAAATATTCCCATTTTTCTTCATCGATACCTCAAGCGGTCATACTCTCGGTTTGATAGCCATCAGCCAATCACGGTTCATTTAAGAATGAAAATTCAAATTTATTAGGAACCAACCAGCGATCGTTTTACTTCATTGTGTCTTCCCTCATACCGTCGCCATATTGAAAAACGAGAAGACCCTGGGGACAAGGTTGGGCTGTGTTGCGCGAGAGCTGATATTCTCGTGTCGAATTGCAAGCATTCACACTAACTTTTATAAAACCTATTTGCACGAATCACAGAGAACCGTTTGCTGTGATTTTTAGTTAGATTTTACGAAAACTAACGCGAATACTACAAACAGTAATACCGCTGAAAGAAAGGTAAGTGCAGGAAGAATTTACATCTCTTTGACAAAAGTATAGAAACTAGATGGAAACGTTACTAAAACCTATAAAGAACAGTCATGGTTAAATCAGTACTGGAGTTCCGCCGAGACACTAAAACATTCAAAAATAAGTGCTTCAGAACAGCGAGAGACCACGATGCGTGTAGCGTTCTCGGTGATTAAAACGACTATTCCGTTCCTGCTAACGTTTGCGAGTCTCGGTCACAGATCAGTTTCCACACCTGGAAAAAGTTAAGATGAGAAAATCGGCAACAATTTGGCTTTTCAAAAAAAAAAAAATACCGTCTGCAGTTAAATGTTTTGACGGTTTCTTGCACAGGTAGCCAGGCATATCACGACAAATTGTGAAAATATTGGCAGAGGTGTACTTATTTTATATTGAGACTTTTCTCGGACTAAGTTTTTTATACGTCCTAGATCTTTCTAAGTATGCAAGACATGAAATAATCTACCTGTATTTGCATTCTAGGCAATTAGTTACATAAGAATATTGTCCTCTTTTTTTTCACCATTCAAATTAATCTTGAATTTACTCAATATATGCAAATTTTAAGAGTTAAAAAGACGAGGGGTTTTTCCCTTGACCTGACCTTTGTATAAAACTATCACGTACCGGAAAATGCCTGTGCATTCCGCTTATTTCTTGAGAGTTCTTTTTGTAAACCGTTCGAGGATACCTATATATTTGCCTAGTTAGGATTTCGAGTTGGATTTTCGAGTAAGGATTCGAGTAGGGATTTCGATTTGGGATTTCGAGTAAGTATTCGAGTTGGATTTTCGAGTTGGGAGTCTAGCTGTATTTTAGAGTTAGGAATGGACTTAGCGGTTTACATATCGTCCTCTTTTTAAGCACAAAATGTGTAGGGGTGATCACTAGAGCACAACACGAAAATATCAATAACAATAACAACAATGTTTATCTGCATTTCCATTTACATAGATGTTATTGCATAGGAGAAAAAAAAAATAAAACAAAGAAAATAAAATAGAGGATGATAGTAGAAAAATACAGCAATGAAGTTACAAAATTAATATTGATCAATACTCATTAGTTACATCATCCTGACTCTTGTTTCTTTTTCTTGAAAGGTTCGAAAACAAAATAACCTAATTTTTTACACATAAAAAGGTCTAAGTTATTAAAAGGGATAATATTTTATCTTGTTCATTTAGAGTATTAAAGGTGGGATATTTCGAGATTATATCATTAATAATAATATATAACTATCCCCCAAAAGGAAAGGTGATCATCTTCTAGCTCTAGCATATTTGCAAGTGAGCATAAATTTCCTCCAGTAGAAAGTTGCTGTTGAAGAATTTTGTGGCAAAAAATGCATGCATAGATTTATTCTTTCAAGAAAGAAAGTGGCCGTGCGTAGAACCTAATAAGTGCATTTTATCTACATTTTTACACTGTACTTGGTAAACAAAAGGGGGGGGGGGGGCCGGATCAGTGACGTCACACTTATTAACCTCCTATATTATATGAAAAAAAATACCACCAAAACCCATCCATGTTCCTACTATGTGGGTACTGTTAGTTTCTAATATTGTTGTAAAGAAACAGAAAATAAAATCAGTGAACTGTAACAGCAGGATTCATCACAATTTAATCAACAGTTTGATTCCGGGTCATTAGAAAAAAAAACTGAAACTAAATGGCAGTGCCTTTAATTGACTATAATTTTGTTATAATGTGAAAGACTATAAAGCAGTCAAGATCTTCTTAAAAATGCACAAACCCGTGTTATAAAGAACTTTTCTTCGTTTAAACATCATAAATAATCTGGAACAGCTTACCTTTCAGTAACGTAAACAAAACTGTATGTTTTTTAATCACTTTCACAAAACTGTAATAATTTTAAAGTTGTACCATTCCCTGCAACATGAAACTTAAACACCTTCAAAGAGCCCAATCATTTGGCAATGGGGTTGCAGAATGTTTTGAAGAGGAAGCCATGCCAGCACTTATTGCATCCTTTGATTGCCAGAATTCTATTTCCAAGAGCTTTTGTTCTGGAAGGACACGTAACAGTGAAAATGAGAGTAGCAAAAACAGTGTTTTGTTTGAATAAATCCATTGTTGATTTTTTTCGTGTTTTTTTGTGTGTGCTACTAGAAGTTTTGCCTATAAAGACTATGAGTGTGCAACAATTTTTTGTTGCATGCTTTTAGGAAATTCTTCACCACAGGAATACGACGGCCAGCATGAAAGCAGGGCACCTTTTTTCCCTCTTTTCCACAGTACAGTTGAAGGAAGAAACTGCAAGCAATAATTTTTTTTCTGTTTTTCGTACCGCATCAGGATAGGTTGAAGTTGAAGTTATCTTTCAGATTCTCAAGATTGTTATGTAATGATGGAACAACCAGCTGCCCATGTACCTCTCCCCTTTTTTCCCATAAGTCAAATGTTTGGACCCCTAGCCTGTTGGACTGATTACATCATATTCCTCTCAGTGTGTATTAAAACATGCAAACATTAAATTTAAACTAATGATCCAACATGCCGTAAATGGATGTTAAATACTAGTGAATGCCTTCCCACTATTATCACAAACTGCTTGAAGTGCAGCCAGGAAGGTATCCTTGTCAGGGAAATTTCTTGGCAAGGTTACATTCTTTGTACAAGTAGAGGAAAAAAATGGAACCAGCATCCTCAAATTCGATCCTGATCCTTCCTAAACCAAACTCTGGTAAGCAGGGTGCCCCAGTAGCAAAGGTGAGGAATGCCTTTAGAATATCTGGTTTTGCACCAACTATGAACTCAGTCATGTGCTCCATGACGGTTTTTTCAGCATCACTCATCTCTGATGGAAACATCAATATTTCCTTGATGTCAGAACCCTTCATTTCCTTTTCTCCTGCCACAAATAGCTCTTTTAAAAGCTCAGGATATACTTGCATTCTGGGCACGAATCCCAGAGTCTGAAGCCCTTCCCTTAGTTGATCTAAAAGTATTTTGGGCTTTCCAATGGCATCATGTACAATAAGGCTTTGGATGACTCGCATTTTGTTATCATTCTGAAAGACATTCACAGAACAACAATAATACAGTAAGAAACTGGTCAACGACCTGTAAGTTGTAGTTGTAGGTAACAATATCCTTGAGAAGGAGATTGCAACATTTGGATGTACATGCAGGTAAATCCGTTCTCTTCATGAAAACATATGCATCTGTCCCAAGCTGGTCAAATGATGGATAGTGCAGTCCACAATAATTTTAATAATTAATTTAAAATAATTTTATGACACCTTTAAAAAGGTGTCATAAGGGGCATCAATTTCAAAAAAGACTGCTCTTTTATTTATAACAATGATTCAGATTTTAGGTATTTGAAAATTATTTTTAATTAGTTGTCGTTTTATCCAATTTATGTAACTTGTAAGGATCTGTATTTTAGATATTTTTAAATTTATTTTGTTGTATAGAATACTTATTTTTAATCTGTTTCTCACTGTTTATTTATTCACTGGATGGTGATTTAACCAGTGGATGCGGTTAATCACCTTTTGAGCAACTGGGGCCTGATCTAAAAAAATATTTATTTTTGCTTCTCTTCTTTTAAACTGTTTGGTGGTTTTTTTTTTATTATTTGTGAATTTCACTTCACTGTCGAGCAAGCTTGAAAGTGCTTTTGAATGGCTTCTCTCCTGATCAGACATTGAGTGTGTAAGTTTTAAAATACTTTTCTATCAATATCGAGTTTTCACTATTGTTAATAATATGCTGTTAAAAATAAAGCGGATCAGTTAAGGTTTCTGGGAAACTGCCCACCTACCCCTCCCCTAACCCAACGTTAACACTAACTTCTCACTTAAGGCAAAATGTTAGGTTAGGGGAGGGGAAGGTGGTCAGAATCCCAGAAACCTTGACTGACCCAATAATGCCATCACAACATTTACAAACTTACAGTTAATGTCATGGGAAGTCCACTCTCTGAGAGAACACTGGTCGTCTCCTCTTTGTCAAGTTCAGATACATCAGCAACTTCTGCAACCTTAAAAAAAAAGAAAAAAAAATTAACAAAAAAAAAACATACGTTTGTGGTAAAAAGTTTCACATATCCTTTTGATACTGCCTTCATTCAGTATTAGTATTAGGGAACATATAAAATGTGAGGGCCCTAGACTGGACAGCTTTCAGATGTTTTGTCACATCTTCTATAACTGGAAGCAAATAAATGCAGCTGTATATCTTCTTAACATTACTCAACTAGCCTAACTATGCACCTGACAGGAGAGGTCAGAAACAGAACTCCATAGCTCCTATTTTGATAAGCAAAATATTTTTCCCTTCCATGTCATTATTATATAACTGCACTAGAATAGGGCACTTTCCCACACAATGAAAAACTCTTCCCATATACTTAACAGCTTGCCAGGCCAACTCAATCACTATCCTCTGGTTAGCATTATAGGTGTTTGCTCAGAGTAAGAGTTCATTAGCATAGTCTCCAGATACTTTGTTAAAATATTTTAACAAAGTTAAATGTAGGTTTTGTTTTCCATTACCTTGGTTATGAAATGTTCCAATTGTGAGATGAGCAGTCTTTTATGGTGATTGCTTTCACGACTTCGTTTAATTTACCTTTGGCCAGGTAATTGTAGACTCCCGGGCTGAATATGGGAAACCCGGGTCCTCCCTGTAGCACACTGTGTACGATGATTGTTCCCACCAGCTTCATTACACCTGATGCAACCATATCACAGTTATAAACTGGACTTCGGTATGTATCACCCTGAAAAAAGGTGTCTGCAATCACTTTCAGTAGTTGTGTGTAAAATTGACGGATGACCCCCCCAGTGTCTGTCGCTGGCTGTCCACTATACACGATTCGTAGCTTCTTTCTTGGGTCAAAATCTTGATCTTTATAGTACGCCATGGCGTCATTTAGAAGATCTTCTTCGTCTATCTTCAACTTTGCTCTTTGATCTGAAGAAAAATTTTTCTGAAGGTTTCTCAATTCAGCATTCAGGTCCTGAGTGTCACAACAGGTTCCTAGTGGTTCAAACGGTGAATTCATCAAGTCATTCGCATCATCATCAGTTACTGTGTTGTCAGTTGTAGGTAAGAGTGACATAACAGCCTGATCAAATGATCCACCTATCCTGATGCGGTACGAAAAACAGAAAAAAAAATTATTGCTTGCAGTTTCTTCCTTCAACTGTACTGTGGAAAAGAGGGAAAAAAGGTGCCCTGCTTTCATGCTGGACGTCGTATCCTGTGGTGAAGAATTTCCTAAAAGCATGCAACAAAAAATTGTTGCACACTCATAGTCGTTATAGGCAATACTTCTAGTAGCACACACAAAAAAAACGAAAAAAATCAACAATGGATTTATTCAAACAAAACACTGTTTTTGCTACTCTCATTTTCACTGTTACGTGTCCTTCCAGAACAAAAGCCCTTGGAAATAGAATTCTGGCAATCAAAGGATGCAATAAGTGCTGGTATGGCTTCCTCTTCAAAACATTCTGCAACCCCATTGCCAAATGATTGGGCTCTTTGAAGGTGTTTAAGTTTCATGTTGCAGGGAATGGTACAACTTTAAAATTATTACAGTTTTGTGAAAGTGATTAAAAATCATACAGTTTTGTTTATGTTACTGAAAGGTAAACTGTTCCAGATTATTTATGATGTTTAAACGAAGAAAAGTTTTTTATAACATGGGTTTGTGCATTATTAAGAAGATATTGACTGCTTTATAGCTTTCACATTATAACAAAATTATAGTCAATTAAAGGCACTGCCATTTAGCCTCAGTTTTTTTTCTAATGACCTGGAATCAAACTGTTGATTAAATTGTGATGAATCCTGCTGTTACAGTTCACTGATTTTATTTTCTGTTTCTTTACAACGATATTAGAAACTAACAGTACCCACATAGTAGGAACATGGATGGGTTTTGGTGTTTTTTGTTTTCACATAATATAGGAGGTTAATAAGTGTGACGTCACTGATCCGACCCTCCCCCCCCCCCCTTTGTTTACCAAGTACAGTGTAAACATGTAGATAAAATGCACTTATTAGGTTCTACGCACAGCCACTTTCTTTCTTGAAAGAATAAATCTATGCATGCATTTTTGCCACAAAATTCTTCAACAGCAACTTTCTACTGGAGGAAATTTATGCTCACTTGCAAATATGCTAGAGCTAGAAGATGATTTTGTGACTTATAAATTCCAAAAACCACTCACCTTTCGCGAGTTCGTGAGTGTTAAAAAACATAATTGGAAACCCTGTAAAACCAGTCATTTATTAGTGTCACCTCTTGCTGCTGTAGAACAACTGTAGAACAACCGCATCCACGGTGGTCACTGAAGCATGAACATGGAAACTTCAACATTTTCAGAGCGTACCCGGGATGATAGACCAAACTCTGACACAGCCTCAAGGAAACATGCAAAAACGGTGCTTGCCTTGGTATTTTTTGAACATTTTAAATAGACTGGTTTTCTATAGTTCTATAAACTGTTGCAAATGTTTGCAATTTCTCCTGTAACAAGACCGCGAAGACAGGCTAGGGAGTCCGCCATTTTGACACTGAGCCCCAGTTTTCCTCGGTTAAGTCACCAGAGAGTCGTTCCCAGACTGCTGAATATTTGAAGCACCGGGCGCGATCCATTCAACCAAAATTCAGACCGGTCCGACCGGGAAAAGAGGACCACCTCAAAAGGTGGACCTGTTTTTCCGGTTGGACCGAACCGATCCATTGAGTTTTGGACCGAAATTTCCGGAAATTTTGGTTGAATGGATCGCACCCACCATTTACGAAAACAGCGGCAGCATTTTTTAAGACAACAGAGGCACCATATACAAAGATAAAGGCACCAGTTTAACAAAATAAGAGGCACCATTAACAAGTTTAGAGGCGCCATTTACAAAGATAAAGGCACCAGTTTAACAAAAATTAATAAGAGGCACCATTAACAAGTTTAGAGGCAACATATGTGAAAACGAAGGCACCATAAGCAAAATTGGAGGCACCATTTACAAAAACAGAGGCACCATTTATGAAAACGAAGGCACCATAAACAAAATTGGAGGCACCATTTACGAAAGTAACGATAGCTGAATTTTGGCGGTAATGGCACCCCATAAACCTGAGGGGGATAGTTGTTTTAGTATTTACCAAATCAGTTGGATAAAAATGAAGAAAATAACTTTTTGTAAATAAAAACGTCATAGGAACTTTGTTTACAATTTACAAACATTTCGGGCGTTTTGTCAAGTGATTTTTACGACTTTTGTTGCCAATTTAGCACGAAAATATTTTTCTACCTACCAGTAAACATCGACAAGCCAAAGTTCGTCATTTTTGTGGTATTCCTTTGTACGACTGCTTTATTTATCGCTCACTGAATTCCGTCTTCCGAAAATGTCTTGAAACGGGACACCATCTTGGCTCTGGTCGCAAAACAGTGAATAGCCAAGGATATTCCGAGTTACGGGAGCCAATCAAAACGCGCGAAAATTGCTATTCACTGATTTGGTAAATACTAAATGATAATATCACTAATAAGAATCACAGTAACTAGAACGTGAACCTCATTTTCTACCTCATTAGACGAAAAATTTTTGCAATTTCTTAGATTTTCCGGAACGGTTTTGGAACAGACCGTCTGCCAGTTTCAATTATTAAGTTATGATTAATTAATTAATTTTGCAACAGATTTTCTATGATATACATTTTTAATTAGTTCTAGTCGAAGGGACGTGCTTTGACCAGTTTTTAACATAGAATATTGATGTTCTGAGTAAGATGTTTTTTTCAGCACTAGTGTTTGGATACCCTGTCTCCAGAGGTCCGTTCTCGAAATACCTAGGATCAGAAATCAGGAAAGAAAAAAAGCCCCTCTGGAATCCAGGGTAGTATTTGCAGACTTAAAGCAAGGGGCACACATACACCAACTCACGGTCTGGCCGGTACCTCACTGATGCGCATAGCCATATCACCCGGGCAGTGGCAATCATGGACAGCTGTTTCGCCTTTGCCAGCGTGGCATAGCCGTCGGATCAGTAAGCGGGGGAACCTACGTATCAAAGACCCTTTTTTTTCTATTTTGGACGTATCAAAGACCGTTTATACTGACGAGGCGAAAGCAAAGCACTCCTTTAAGTGCCAGCTCCACACAACACATGTAGGAGTTGTCGGCTGGGAACCGCTATGTGTGCCCCTTGCTTTAGGTTTGTCTTAGTATTGGCAAGAATTTTTTTTACATCCATGCGTATCCTTATATCACAGCACATGTTTCATCAGTACATAAAATAAAGTCAAAGGGGCACTAATTAGTACCTCTTGCTGCACTTGTTGTATAAAAACTGGCGCGTGCGTACCTGTTAGTTATTAAAAGCGCTGCTTCAACACAGATTTAAATAGAAAATGTAAAAAGCCATTACTGTATTCCATATGTCAGTAGAATAAGTAACAGTGGCTTGGCTAGATACAACTTGTGCAAAGTTCAGAGCACATTTTGAACGGTTCTGGAACCAGTTAAAATCTTCGTTATGTTGTTGTTGTCTACTGGAGCTCGTTACAGGATTTCTTATACTAAAAAATAAAAACATGGACAAATGACAGTAAACATACCTAAAAATGAGACATTCGAGAAAAAAATTCTAGAGTTATCTTTTTGCAAATCCAGACAGAATAAGGCAATCACAGAAAAATAACTCTAAATCCGTAACTAACTATTAACTATTTTGTAAACATTGGCCTGCAGCTTACTGAGAAAATTAGAAACAGAACCATGAGCTTTTCTAACCACACCACAAACCAGCTTACTTTCAATGTGTTTCAGTTTCAACTGATTTCATCATTAAAGCTATCAAACGGCTTAAGCCAACAAATAAAGCAGTTAGCCTAGACAAAATAAGCGCTAGTTTGCTAAAGGATGCCCTTGACGTAGTCGCTCCAACTTTGACGTCGCTCTTCAACCTCTGCATCGAGTTCGGAAGCTTTCCGTCAATCTGGAAATTGGCAAAGGTAACCCAACTCTTTAAGAAGGGTAATAAGCAAGATCCGTCTACTTACAGACCGACATCTGTTCTGCCTACTTTAAGTAGAGCTGTGCATACCCAACTGTGTGCCTATCTGTGTGATAACCATCTGCTCTCTATGTAAGCAGTTCGGTTTCCGACTTAAAGCATCGACAGTCACTGCGACTGCACAGTTCACAGATCAAACCCTTACATATATGGATAACGAATGGTCACAGGCGCCGTATTCATTGACCTCACTAAGGCTTTTGACTGTCAACCATTCGATATTATTATCTAAACTTAATAGTCTCGGCCTTTTGGATGATTCTACAGCATATAATTGGTTTGAGTCATACCTTTCCAACCGATGTCAAGTTACTGCCTGCAACAACAGTCAATCGGACCAAGCAAATTATACCGATGGCAGTACCCCAAGGCTCCATCCTTGTACCTCTGTTGTTTACTGTATACATTAACGACTTACCAGACCGTTTGGAATTCTGTGACATTACTCTTTACGAAGATGACACCGTCTTATTCATTTCTTCTAAATCTATTTAGGACATTGAATTATAGCTAAATTCAGACCTCGATAAAGTTAGCAAGTGGCTCATATCTAATCAGCTTACCCTGAATATTATTAAAACCAAATTTATTATCATGGTAGTAGCAACCAGCGCTTGAAATAATTGAATTCAATCTCAATTACGACTAATGATAAGAGTATCGAAGAAGTTAGCTCCTTTTCGTACTTGTGTGTGGTTATCAATAACCATCTAAGTTGGCAAGATCTCATTGATTATATCAGTAATAAGATAAATAAGAAATTGGGACTTCTTAGACGTAATAAAATCATGTTTACCGCTGGAGGCTAGGCTTATGTTTTTTAACAGTTACATCTTACCTATATTCGACTATGCTGATATTATTTGGGGAGTCCTAAATCATGACTACAACACTAGGTATAAGGAGATAATGTACGTACTAAGGATTTTTCAAATAGAAACTGGGGTCTTTGGACTTCGACAAATTTTGCCTCGAACGAATGGAATAATTTAGATAAGTCATTGAGGGAGCTCATGTCACTTGACAATTTTA